GAAACACCAACGGTCGTACTCGAAGAAGCTACTTGTTGCTGCGAAGGTTTCTTTTGTTCCAATTCTTGTCTCCAACGTCTCCGAAATTCTTCAAGATTCTCGTCATTCTCTTTAAAGTTGGAGGAAGAAGTGAAAGGTGATGGGTTATCTTCCATTTTCAGAAAATTTTATGCAAGCTCTTATAAATAAAACTACAGACAATAGAACCGAAACGCTGTCCGATCAAATTTTCCATACCTCTATATATATGGAAATTTTCGGAAAATTCATCGGTCATGATTTCCCATCAAAAGTCGTAATGATGCACTTAATTTAAATTAGCGTAGTGCATGTATTACGTGCAAGTGTATATACAGTATCTGTCCGAGTGAAAAATAAAATCCTTTTAATGAATTCCTCTTGACTTCTTTAGACTCCACGTTTCATGACAATGAATTTTGAAAAATTTTTCTAATAGAAACAACCTTCACATTCCTTTCTAACATTAATTACATCGCACAGTAATGGGTAACGTCATCTCAAATTCTAACGTCACCTCCACTTCCTCCAACCTTGCCTTCAAAAACGGAATTTGTCCTCATTGTTCACAACCAAATACTGGTATCGCGTGGTGCAAATCGTGCGATCCGGGCCGCTTTCGATTCGAAGGGCACACCAGCGGAAACAATTCCATCGACGAATTCATTATGGAAACACAACTATGCATAGAAAATTACACGGACCGGCATCTAGAATGGATTCCATTTGATAGGTTTAAAGATATTAGTGTGGTTGGCGAGGGAGGGTTTGGCACAGTTTATAAAGCCATATGGATTGATGGAAAAAGAGACTGGATAGCCGAGGAGGTTGAAGGAAAGATGGTAGTTCGGAAAGAGAGGCAGGGGGAAATTTTGGTGGCGTTAAAGAGCATCAAGAATTCGAAGAACATGTCTAAACAGTTTCTTCACGAGGTAACCAAAATGATGTTATGATATACAGTACGTAAATATGTCGTTTTTCGTTACACAACACGTATATTGTTCTGGCTATGTGTTATATAGATAAAAACGCATTGGAAATGTTTGTCCGAATTATTCCTACAATTCTACGGAATAACAACAAATCCCGAAACCGAGGAAATCATCATGGTCACCCAATACGCTTCCCACGGTAATCTACGCACTTACCTCTCCAAAAATTACAAACATATCAACTGGAAGGCAAAACTGGAATGGTTAACCGACATCGCCAAAGATCTCGAGATGCTGCATCACCACAATTTCACTCACCGGGATCTTCACTCGGGCAACATTCTGATCGTCAAGGATGAGAGGTTCAATCGACGTATCGAATCCAAGCTCACGGATTTCGGCCTGGCGCAACCGGCAAATAGAGATCGTCTTTCTGGAAGCATCGGTGTATTCGGTGTCCTTCCTTATGTTGCTCCGGAAGTACTGAAAGGTCGGTCATACACTACGGCCGCCGACATGTATAGCTTTGGCATAATCATGGCAGAAATGTCCACCGGAAAACTGCCGTTCGGAGATAGACCACATGACTCGGAGTTAACCCTGGATATATGTAATGGGTTGAGACCGGATTTCGCGGACGGAACGCCTGAATTTTATGTTGAGTTATCGAGGAGGTGCTGCGATAGCGACCCTGTGAAACGACCAAGTGCCATGCACGTATGGCAGATTATCACAACTTGGGAGAGATTTATTAATGATCCCCGGAAGGAATACAAGAGCGCGTTTGAAGCAGCCGACAAGATTCGATTGGAGATTGTGAATAAGCAGGACGGTAGAGTGGATTCAAAAATTCATGCAAACGCTGTGTACACAAGCAGACTTTTGAATTATTGTCAGGTACAAAGTTCAAATAAGACTGATAAAATTGATTTTTGCAAGATTTTTGGTAAGTAAATTATATTTTTAGGGTATTGTTCCATACGACGACTTTTTAAAAAAAATATTTCTCGCTCGTTGTTTTTACAGATTCCACGCAAATCGATCTCTCGATTCCCGAAGATCTATTGTTAGAATAATTTTTTTGGTAAAGGTGTATGCATACGAGCAAAGAAGAATAATTAGGTGTATTTGTATAAATTAATTTATCGCGAATATTTACATTTTCTATATTATCTGTATTTATAAACTCGATTATAATAATCAATAAACTTATATTATTATTTCCTGTTTTGATTTTACTTATTAAGTAGTACAATAAATGTATTACGTATAGAGAATGATTTTAGAAAGAATACGCAAGTATAAAGTGCAGTGGTCATGTGATGGCAGAATTCCGAGATCGAGTCATAATAGCACATTCTCGAAGTTTGGCACTTTTTTATATATAATATTGTAAGGCATCGGAAAATATACAGTATATCACGGATATCACGAGTCGCGAATTAACGCATATAGGATAATATGACGCAACAATCCTGTAATAGACATGATAAGTGTCAATCATGATGTTGTGTTCAAAAACGATGCCACCAAAACCGAAAAAGCCTCGGAAAAAAAAAGTTACAGGTAAAGTACATGTATTTTCGAGAATTGTTGAAGAAACAATTCATTATATTTAATGAAAAATATCTTCCGTAGAGGACGTTTCACCTACTGTTGCTGGTACATCTGGCACATCTAGTACAACCGCACAAGGCGAAGGTGTCGAAATATTTGAAAATGTTCCTCCCCTACGAACGGAACTATCTAGTGGTAAGGTAAACTTATTATAAATATTTTTTACAGGGGAGTCACTCATTACCTTTGCGAAAAAATAGGTCTTGAGGGTTTTCACTTAGGCTCGTTGTCAACCCCTTCTAAAATCTGGGCCAAATATGGCGACAGTCAACCAACGAGAATTGTTTTCGATGGAGAAGATGTACACGACTTAAAAAATGCGATTAAGAAGAAACTGTCCTCCGAATTTGATGATGTGGACCTTAACCAAATCATTTTAAGAAGACACGGTGAAAAAGAAGATTTGCGCCCTGGTCTTCCAGTGGATAAAAGTTTTGAAAATAATTATGACACACCTCTACAAATCATTGTAAATGAACCTGGTATGTATCGGGAAAGAAGCGATAATTAACAGGTTAAAATAGTTTTGCATTATTGTGACATTAAACTAACTTTGGATTTTTTCTATTATTACAAGCGACGTTAAAACGCAAACATAAGGAACTACCAGAATATCTAAATAAGATTATAGAAAATGCGGTAGAAAGAGCGGTAGAGAAAGCGTTACCTCGGCAAAGTCATGAGACGATCCAAGCATCAAATCTTTCGGAAACGAAAGCAGAAACAATAATGGATTCTTTCAAATTATTGCATTTCAAAGTAAGTATATACCTCCTGTATTATTTGATGATTTTATTATCTTATCACTTATCAATTATTAGCTCTCAGCGGAAGACTTTGAACCTATTAGTCCCATAAATTGCCAGCCATTCGTATGGGACACAGAAACTGATGAAGCCCACCAAATGCCCGAAGTTGAAAAATGGTTTAAGAAAGCATTAAACCTACCAGGAGGTTTTCATGTGAAAGATGTCCATACACAAATTAAAGAACGACATTTAATAAGTTCCAATATTACTTTAAGGGGCGGTACCGATATTTCCATTAAAATAAGTGCTAACGACTGTGTTTGGATTGAAACCAAGAAAAAAATGGAGGATTTTAAAGAGGGTCAAGCTATCGGAAAATTATTCATAGTTGATAATATATCTGTTACAAAATCTATGTATGTCTTAACTGATTGCAATGACAATTGGATTATTTACTTTTTTATGAAGACAGAGAACCACCAATATTTAGCATCATCTAAAATTAATGATCGCAGCATTACTTTGGCAATAATTAGAGAGTTTGCACTTGATGAAGGGAAATTTATTCATAGTGAAATAGGAAGACTTGTTACATATGAAGCAAATTTACCCGAACCACTTAAAAGGAAAGCAATAATGGATGAACCTATACCCGTAGAGGTTGATGACAGAATGGCAGACCTAATCGATGATATGACCGAAAAAGAATTATTTAACATGTCGATGCGCAAAAGATTGAGATTGGCAAAAAGTTTTGTTAAAAGAGAAGAACATCCAATTATAGATGAGTATATTAGGCAGTTTAGTGATGATTATGATCCACCCCACCATTGATGTCCTCATAGCACAAATATAGATAGTCAAAAAATTTTTGTCACGCATCTCTAGTCCTAATGTTTTGTGTAGTGACGATCGATCGTGTGTAATAATTCGAGATCCTCAATTTCATTAATTGTTGTGGACGAATATTTGAAATAAATTCTTTGATTTTTAGTAGCTACAAAACGAGTTTTATTAATTTTTTTTTTTTTTGTCCGCTTCGTAAAGTGGAACATAATTAAACGAAAAAAATTACCTTATATAATAAATCAACCGTAAGCAAAGGTATTGGGTATGATGAAGCATATTATACGTTGTGACTAGAACTCCAACACAGACAAAATAAAAAGCTATTTTTAGTACAATTAATTGAAAGACATGCAAATATTATTGCATAACATATTCCCAACGATACCCTCCCGCATGTCTTGAAATCCTTGACATACTAGTCCTATATGATTAATTCCAGTAACACGCCGTGCTTCAGCTATGGATGGAAATTCTTGGAAAGACCCATCATCGAAAATCTGCTTAACACCCACATTGACGCTTAAGCCCAAGGCGCAAGCATGCTGTTTTCTTTTTGCGAACACCATTCAAGATTAGATGCTTTATTATTTGTTGAATCCCCGTCAATATGATTCACATATTATTTACCTTCTTCTTTAAGGCAAAATGCTAACGCAACCACGCGATGAACACGACATTTTTCTCAAGCGACCCTAAGATATCCTGCATCTAGAGATCCTCTTGAGATTAAACCGTTGGGTAACTGAACCCTCCCTAAAGATGAAACTTCGAATTTTCGGAGATTAAGCCTTATTTCTCTCCATTCTTCATTTGGATCTTTTTCGATGTGATCTTCGTAATACATCAAACGCCACCCCTCCAGTAGTGTTCAACTTTTTGCTACAACATTGAGAGATATAAGGCCCTGAAATCTTAAGTGTAGAGCTTGCAAGAGCTATAAAATCCCAAATTCGAATAGCATTTCCGTCCAGAGTCTTTTGCACAATTTTCCTGGAGCTACTACGACCAGGATTTGGGAATATTTTGCGTCCAGCATTCTCTTTAGGAGTTACCCATTCCAAGTTAATAACTCGATTATCATATTTGATGCCATTATTATGATTAACATAGGACCTATTTTCTGGATTAGAAACAAAAGCTTGTGCAACTAAAATATGGACAGCTCTACTTGTATAAATGCCATCAATTTTTAAACCTATCCGTATATAACCTTTTCTTTTGCTGGGATTCACTCTTAAAATCCTACCTTTATTATTTTTTATGCGTCCAAGATTGGAAATTAGTATTCTGAAGCAGTTTTCAAACTTCCATTATGATGTCTGCTATTTATCATCATATCTACTATTAAAATTTAGATCAGATATATCCTCCATAGACTCTGTATCGAGAAAAAAATCATGCATACGGTACCAAGTATATGCCCTTTTTCCGGCTGTGGCAAAAGCATTGATGTTGTTGATGAAGGTTTAAGACAAGACTTTGTATCTTCCCAAATAAGTGGGACCTCGACTCTAGTTGACAAATTTACCCGTAATATCGGAATTAGTTCATCAAGAATTTTATCCCAAGATCAACCTATGGATCTGGATAGGAATGAAGAAACAGAGCATCGAGTCGAGGAAACATCTAGTGCAACTACTATCCTTCCACAAAAGCGTGTTAACGAACCTAGTGATGAACCTATGTCTACCGGCAAGAAAATCAAGTCCGTTAAAAAAGAAGATTCACCGACATGAAAAAGTTGATTAAAGAATTGACAAAATCTACCCAGAAAACCTTATCTAGCAATACCATTATTTTGCAGTCAGGCATTTCCGAAATCGATAAATATTCAGTTAATTTTCGTGAAAAGATTAGCAAAGCTGAAGACAAGAATCAAAAAATTACCCAAAATGTGGTTTGTTGCTACTATGCCTTTGGGAAGGTATTAGATTATGGTTCGATCATTTTAGAAAAGCATATAGCGAAAATACATCCAATGCTCTAGTTAATGATAAAATCAGAGAGCAATTTCCCGATCAAGATAAAATTACAGAAACCAATCTTAGAAAAAGGAAGGAAAGGGATAAAAAGATTTTCAGATTTTTCAATTGTATTGGTGGTAAAGAATTAATACGTATATCGGGTTAGATCTTTAATTCAAGAAGATGTTGATTATGTAATTGCCTAAATTTTAAAAGGCGATAAAACAATTAACAATTTTACTCTTCATAATTGCTCACGTTGACACCCTTAAATATAAGGGTATTGCACATTTTACATACAATTTGTGTAATTTCACTATGACAAGCGTGTCACACTCCTTCGAGCATAAACATAAAGTATTTTCGAATCCATTTTTGATGTAATTTGCGTAGCTTTACTGACAAGCTTGTCACACTTCTTCCAATAAAAATAAAGTATTTTCGTAGGTAATAGAATAAAACCTCGCTCTATTCATCAAGTTGACTAATTGACATATCCAGCCGACACGTATTCTATGTGGATGTTCTGGAGGTATACTTAAATCGAAAACGATAAATTTTTGTTCGCATAGATGCTTATTAACAATTTATAAACACTGCACCAGTCATTAAGAGTCATTAAAAAGTACAACATATTTTAAGTTTTTTCTTATTAGTTTTGGGCAGTTGAAATAGCTCTGATATATACAGTATATCGAAGAAACATTAGAACGATGTCCTTCAGTAAAATAAGGTATAATCTTTTCTTGAATTTTTTTTGGTCCAGTGCATACATCCTCGAATATAATCACTGTACCTCTTTCTGGAGAGAATGAATCTAGTTTTTGAATTTTATCAGGCTTCATAGCCCGAAATGTAATATCTTCACGGTGTGTTTCTGGACTATTTGCGATTATTTGATATGATGATTTAAGGTACATATATTTGGGTTCCTTGAGATGGTGTCCAATAAGTATGATATCATCACGTTTAATATCTCTGCTTCCTCTTTTTTTTCCATTAAACATCCGATAGAGTTTATTTCCAAGCAAAATATTAACAACTTCTGTAGTTTTTCCTGAATTGGTTCGACCAGTGATTAAGCATGTGAAGAGACATTGAGGAATCGAGTTTTTTGAATTATATTTCTCAAGCTGTTTATACTTATTGATGGCATATACAAATCTCTCGACTGGTTCAAGCTTTTCTATTTTCATATTAGTCAATATATGTTAATTGTATTAAAAAATATATATTATAAGTTTTTATTCATTATGTGTTAAATAACCCTTATCTTGTAATTTGCTTTTTCAATGAGTGTATTTTCATTATAGAGAGGCAAAGTACAATTTAAAATATCATGGGATTAATAGAAAATACTGAGAAAATTAACTTTAAATGATGCAATAAAAAATCGCAAAGATCATAATGGTTTTTGTCTATCTACTTAATACTGTATATTAATTGCATAACTCCTTTATTATGGAAATGTAGTAAAGGGCAAAGATGATATGCTCTCCTTAATAATATTAAGAATCAGATAACAGTTCGTACCCATCGCCACCAATCCAAAGATCTACAAGAACGTTACGCGAATAGTTGGTCTAGATTAGCAACAGATTCACTGGTGACGACACACTAATTAAAAATCTCATGTTTACAAAAGAAAAGAAATTCCAAAAAAAGAAATATCGTAACAAACTTTATTATATGCAAGTTATCCTACCCTAGTATTTCTCAAGTTTTGCGTAATTATAATATCAAAAATGTTGGGCACATAAGCTTGGTAAACCTTATTAAAGTTAATGCTATTTATTCAGTTTTATAAAATTTTGAAAATAACGATAAGTTCATAAATTAACGGATTTAACAGATATTTACATTGCGAAAATTTAAAAGTAATGATATTTAAGCCTAAAATATAATGAAAATCTGGATATAAACGTTTAAAGAATACATTGATGATGCATCCTTTCAATTATATATTCTGATCATAAAACTATTTACGAAAAATATAAAGACGTATATTTATATTATTTAATACGTAAATTAACTTGTTGACTGTCTATAATATATAAGAGTGTTAATTTAATATACAGTATAATAAAATAATAATACATATTATTATTTACCTTTTTTGATGTAAGGAATAAATTCACTTGTATAGGTCGTCTTAGTGTATGTTTGCACGTGAGTATTTTCGATATTTTTTAATATTTTATCATACTTTGATAATTCTATTAAAAATTCTTCGTCATTTTGCCATTCTGTAAAAGTTCTGCAGATTTCTTCGGAAAGTGGCCGATTCTTTGGATTTCCATCCCAACAACTTTTCATAAGATTTATGTAACACTGTGGCGTACCCTCAATAATAGTTGGTCGAACTCCATTACATACTTGAATTTGAAATTGAATTCTAGATTCATGGTTAAAAGAAACAGCTCTTCCAGAAGAAACTTCCCACATAACT